GAAGCAGCAGAGAGGGGTGGAGGACTATATATATATATATATATATATACGCATCAGACCAGGTTTTCCCCAGAAAGAACTCCAGTTATCTATGTAGCCCACGTCGTTGTCAGAACACCACCTGGACACCCAGCAGTTAAACGACGACATACGGCTAAACATGTCATCGCTGGTCAGGTTGGGGAGGGGGCCGGAGAAAACTAAGGAGTCCGACATGGTTTTAGCAAAGTCACACACCGAAGCTTTATCTAATCTTGTCTTATTCTAGTCTTATTCTAATCTTGTTACTTGTTTTGTTTTTATGACGTGCACTGCTGCCTGTTCTTGGCCAGGCCACCATTGTGAAAGAGGTCTTGATCTCAATGGGTTTTTATCTGGTTAAATAAGAATCAGAATCAGAATAAACTTTATTGGCATTGCACCGAGATACAACGGGAATATGTACGTACAGTCGTCCGAAGATGGGCGGAGTGCACGAAGCTGCAACTAAAATAATTAGCGCGGTCTTCTTATTCTTATTCAGAATAATATTTTGCTTAGATAAGAAAAGGAAAGAAAACATGAGGAGAGACGGTATAAAAAAAAAGATTTCTCACACCGTGTCCTAGATAGGGCATGATTTGAGGCATCAAAAAAAACTCCCACAGCAAAGCAACATAAACAGACGTTATACATGAACATATAGGCCGTGAAAACATAGAATTTTTAAGGAAAAGTCGTAGCATAGTCCAGAGCCCCCCCTCAGTCATTGTCCAGATAAGAGGTGACGTTCATCTTCAGCTCAGTTGAGGTTCTGTCACATGTCCACGGCCTTGGGGGAGGGAGGGGTGAGGAAACAGTCAAAGCATCTTTGTTGCATCTTAGCTGCAACTTTCATGCCGATATTAGATTATGGTGACGTGCTGTACATGAGTGCTGCATCAAAATACCTACAGTCCTTAGACTCAGTTTATCATGGTGCCCTTCGATTCATTACTGATTCCAGTTATCACACTCATCACTGTGAACTTTACGTCAAGTCTAGCTGGTCTTCTCTCAGCACTCGCAGATACACTCACTGGATATCCTTCATCTATAAGACCCTTCTAAACCTAGTCCCGTCATACCTTACCTCCCTAATACAAACATCACACAATCATTACTCCCTGCGCTCTAATGACCTAATCCTCCTGTCAGTTCCTCTGGTCAGAACTGAACTAGGAAAAAGAGCATTCAGCTTCGCCGTCCCCTCAGCCTGGAACAACTTACAGACAGATTTGAAACTATCAACACTCATCTCGCCTAGATCCTTCATGTCAACTGTATCAGATAATGTTATCAAAAATCTGGACCATTGCAGATGTTTCTAAAACACTACTTATCAAATATACATGTCTTTGTTGACTTTTAACTCTGTATACTTAACCTGATGTCTGTTCTACATTTAATGTCTACAGAAGTCTCTTATCCTGATGGTTTCCAACTGTTAACATTTATTTATAGTGATAGTAGTTTCTTTTTTCTTTTGATAAATGTAAATGCTTATTATCAATTACCCTGTGACGTGTGCTGATGACCACTTGACCAGGTCACCCTTGTGAAAGAGATCTTGATCTCAACGGGCTCTACCTGGTAAAATAAAGGTGATTGATTGATTGATTGTTGTTTTCCAAACATTCCAGGAGGAGTTGAGATAAGTCCGGCATCAAGGCCACAGTTTGGGTCAGGCAGAACTCATGAATTGTTGTTTCTGCCTTTAAAGTCTCGCTGGTACATATTCTCTGATGGAAACTCCAAAACAGCTGAATTGATCCTTTTCTCCAAAAGTCGAGCTCACAGCTTCTCCAGATTATTCACACCATTCATGAGTGCTGCCAGGGAGAACACAGTCCTGATACAGCTGCTCCAACTCCCTGTCACAGCTTCTTCCCACATTCAGTCCGAGCACTGTCGAGCTTCAACACTTCCACACAAATTTGTAGACAACCAGATTTCACCAACCAAACAGCAAAAACCAGTTGTCATCATGAATCCAATTTGTTTCCGTTGAGGTAAGAGGGTCCTCCTTACTCTGACTCCTGTCGGGAGAAGTTGATCGATTTTGTTGAGAGACCAGCTGATCCTTCCAATTAAGAGGCATGCAGGAAAAAAAAAAAAAGAGGCTTTTTAAGGGTTCACAGGACAAAAGAGTGCAGCAGGGAAGCGGGTGGGGGGGGGGGGCACGTCTGTTCCACCTTAGAATAGAAGGGAAATAAAAAGGTTTAATAAAAGAAAAAGAAAAGAAAAAGGAACTTTGACTTTGATATACATATATACGTATACAGATACATAAGGAGTTTGTCTGACTTTCTAACAGTGATTAATTCCTGAAGCCGTACTACAAAATTCTAATTTATGACTTTTTTCAGGATTTCTTTTCCTCTACCATCTCCATGGAAGGAGCATGCTTGACGTTCATGTACACCAGCTACTTCTCTACGCGGTCTTTGGACAAGCCCTTATAGTCTTTATTGAGGTCTTCCACCGAGGCAACATAATTCTGGAGCTGCTGCGCTGCACCCTCACACTTCTGCAGGGCTCCTGGTTCTGGGAGGTAAATCTGGATGTGACCATGTTGGACCAGATGGTTGGACTAGTGTGTGTGCACCCTCATAATTCTTCTCTTTTTGACAACAGATTGGCTTTGTGCTGTACCCCCCCAGCGGGCCTGAGTGGGACCTGAAAGACCACAACAACATGATGTTTGTTACCATGTGTTACTCCTGGCACCTGGCCTTTTCCATGCTTGTGGTTGGTGTGCTGTATTGCACTGTTAGCAGGTGAGTATGGCAATCCATTTCAGTATTTATAAAAAATATTTGATATGTCTTTTTTCTCTAGTAGTTTGTTGTACAAAGTACTAACTGAGCTCTTTCTTAGCCTTATTATCCTTATGAGCGTTGTTAGTTTATTAGAATGAAATTTTGTCCTACTAATAAACTAGTAAGATCTGAACGTTCACCATGTTTACCTGGGCACATAAGGTTTTACTAGTTTACAGGTTAAAACTACAAAGTTGAATAGTTAAATTATAAAATTCAAAATATCCACTAGTTAATTATCCAACATTTTTCAGTCAGGTCATCTGGTCAGTTTCTTTTTTTGTGCTGAAACGTTTCGCCTTTGATCCGGAAGGCTTCATCAGTCATGCTGCCAGTCATGCTGGATTGAATGATTGTATAGCTGGATTATTGAGCATGGACTTTGTTGTTTTCAACC